TGAGTTCAAATCCCAACTGTGACTGTAACTGAGGATGACCTGGGGCTTAACCTCTATTTTATTTTTATTTTTTTGCAGTACTGGGGTTTGAACTCAGGGCCTTGAGCCACTCCACCAGCCCTTTTTGGTGAAGGGTTTTTCAAGATAAGGTCTTGCAAAGTACTTGCCCAGGCTGGCTTCAAACCTTGATCCTCCTGATCTCTGCCTCCTGAGTAGCTGGGATTACAGGTGTGAGGCACGGCGCCCAGCTGGGGTTCACCTGTTTGTGCCTTGATTTTATTATATGCAATGAGGGATAATGGCCCTTCTGTCACAGAGCTCGTGAAGATTAAATGAATGAATGCATGCAGGTGGCTTTCGAATCGAGCCTGGCAGAATAAATAATTCGGATCCTTTGTGACGTTCAACAGATGACAGCTGAGGTTCCGAACCTAGCTGCGCAGCCTTGGGCAAACTAATTCCAATTTCCTTGCCTTTCCAACGACCTCCTGCTGGCCCTCCAGGACTACGGGGACACACAGACAGCCGACTATGCTAGACAGGCCTGTGTGGGCTGTTGCTGTAACCGACACTCAAGTTCCAGAGAATTCGTCTGCACTCCCGTCTCAAGTTTTGACTTTGACTTCTCTGCTTTCTTTCTGGCCAAAGTTCAAGGGATAAAAAGGAGGAGCCCACCAAGATCCTGAGGACAGATAAGGTCCTCACCCACGAGCTGTCCCAGGACAGTGGGACGGACGCCGGGAGGGGCCGCGTTTTCTCCCTGAAACCTCAAAGAGACAGCGTTTGTTGAGGACACGCCAACCATCCACGGCCTCCCTGCCAGGGTTACCACGCCATGGTGGCCCCGAGCTGTGGAATCCTTCAGGAGCTCCCCAGAGGTTCAGCGTGGGACGCTCTGTGCAGCCGGGCTGCCACCCTCAAAGGGGCACAGAGGGACCCATTGCCGGGCAGGACGTGGCTGGTGTCCGTGAGAGGCCTGTGCTCAAAAAGTGGCCCAAGGTAAAGAGTGAAGACTAAGAACGGCCCTCAGGATTAGCGTCCTCTCTGCAGATGCCTGAAAAGGAAACACCGCTTTGCCCCTTCCGCCTCATCTCAGAGGTTTACAAGTTAGGGACACACTCCCAGGGGGAGCCTGAAGTCCCCTCTCCACTCGTGCCTAGGTCATTTTTTTTTGTACGTCTAAGAGATGGTGTCTCTCTCTGTTGCCCAGGGTGGTCTTGAACCCCTGGACTCAAGTGATCTTCCCACCTCAGCCTCCCCAGTATTGGGGTGCACCTCTGTGCCTGGCACAGGGTAGATGCTTGGAAGGTTTTCCCCAGAAGGAATCGAGGGTCCCTTGGTTTCCAGATAAGAAAAGTCCTGGCAAAAGGCCAGGGGCTTCATGTAACTATGGTCTCCATTTTTTTTTTTTTTTTTTTTTTGGTGGCACTGGGGTTTGAACTCAGGGCCTCCACCTTGAGCCATTCCACCAGCCCTTTTTCGTGAAGGGTTTTTTTGGAGCTAGGGTGTTGGGAACTATTTGCCCAAGCTGGCTTCGAATTTCGATCCTCCCAATCTCTGCCTCCCAAGTAGCTGAGATTACAGGCGTGAGCCACTGGCGTCTGGCTGCATTCGTTATTTTTAAAGCAGACCCCTAGGGTTGTTGGTTGTTCACAGCCATGGTCTCCAGCTTTTTCCACCTAAGCTGAGCAGAAAACCTGTAGCCACCACCAGGAATAAGCAGATGCTTATGTCCACACCTGGACTCTCTCTCGACAGGACAGGAAGTTACACGGTGGCCTCCATGGGCAAGTTGAAGTTCAAAGCACCGCCCCATGCGAACCTCTCTGCAGACTGATGACTTTAACGGGAACACAGCAATGACAACATATGACACTTGATAAAATTGTATTTTTTTTTTTTACAGTCATCTGTACAATTTGTTACAAAACCATAGAAGGCTACAATTTGTTTTAAATCATTTTTGGTCTGCAAGTATGTAAAGTCTGTGTGCAATTATGTATTTACAGGGCCTCGTGTTAGTCATTTTCAGTGATTACTCCAACAACGCCACACTCTCAACGTAAGACATGGCTTCAGATAAATATATTAGTAAATAAATATTCTGAGAACATATTTCCATAAATGAAATGTGCTGCTATTTATACACAGAATATACAGAAGTTTTCTAGCTTTTAAAACATTTTTTTTAAAAAAATGGTAATGTTGGAAAAAAGAGCCCTTAGACCATTTCATTACAAAATCTTTACAGCAAAGTCTTTACAAAATATCTCTTAAGTGCTATGGGAGAAAATAAAAAAATTTTTTTTAAATAGTGCCTTGTTAGCTCATGATAGAATTTATATAAAGAATAGAAAAAAGGCAGCTCTGTTCAAAAGACGATAGTTCTGATTAGTAATTGTTTGTCAGACCTCATTTAAAAAGCATTAGTCCTGTGTGAACTTCGAGAGCAAACAGCACAGAGAGGAGGATCTGAGCAGGGAACAGCAGATGGAGCTGAAAAGAAACAAAGAGGTTTGGAGGGGAGAGGAAGGGGCTGAGATTAAAGCCGTTTTCAGCTGCTTCTGGAACTTACAGGGTGGCCCTACACCCAGGGCTGAGCCCCAGGGCCGACATGGGGACAGGGCTCCCAGTGGGAAGCAGGATGCCCTGTTTCCATGGCCACCCACCCCACCCCACCTCACCAAGTCCCATGGCTGCAGTTCAGAACCTCAAGGAAGGCATTTCTTTGGATTTCGATGATGACGTGATAAGATGGTTGGGATTACTTTATTCTAGTGACCTCGCTGTCTGATGAGCCAACACAAAAGACACCGGCTGATATTTAAGTTTTGAAATTTTCATTTTTGTTTCTGTCCTCCCATAAACTGCAAAAATTAAATGCACTTCGTGAATTATTTATTTTAAATGACAATTGAATGCGTTTGTTTTACTAAGTCCAAGTTTTCGGACTGGTGGAGTGGAGTGGCTCAGCTGGTAGAGCGCCTGCCTAGCAAGCGCAAAGTCCTGAGTTCAAACCCCATTACCACCAAAAAAAAAAAAAAATCCAAATTCTCATCTGTTTATTGTTTATGGCTAGCAAGAAGCAGTTCTCTAGCCAGGGCCGCTTTGGGGGGACAGTTTCAGACAAGAAAGATGATATGAGCTCAAACGCATTACAAACAAAAAAAGCAAAACCACAAATAACAAAAAAAAAATCTCAACAATGAGAAGTTGCTTTTCTGCAGTTCATGTTAAAAGCCACCCTCCCCCGCCACCAAAACCAAGTAATGCAAGCTGGTGGCCCCACAGCTGCCGCTCCTGGCCCCAGAAATAAAGGCGGTGGCCATGGGTGTGATCGTATGTCAACAGCTTCTTCTCACACCCTCACCAACAGGTGTGCTGGGCCCAGCCTGGGGAAGCAGTCCCTAGGGACTGTCCCCCAGAGGCTGGAGGACAAATCTCAGCAGAGTTCCTAAATGGCAAATGGCCGGGATCATTTGATGCTTGGATTTCTTTGTGTCAAATGCTGAGTTACTTGTAAAGCAAGTGTCCTGGTTATAGGCCGGGCTTTCAAAGAACAAAGTATTCTGATACGGTGAGATTCTCTTTCAAAACGTCCTTCGGGACCCTGGGCCGACTTCCTGTGAGCCTGACTGGAGAAGGGGACACCACAGTCTCCTGGCAACCCAGGGTGGTCCCTATTTTCCCACTACAGGGGGCCAGGTCCCACGGTTCCTGCTCTGTAAATGAGGCTTTTAGACGCAACAGCTCAATTTCTCTCAGATGGCTAAATGAACAAGTGTCCAGAGAAGTTAGTAAACACGATGCCTAATCTGATTCAGTTTCCTTTAAAAAAAAATTTTTTTTAAACAACAAAGACTACATTGGAGAAAAGATGACAATCCCTGATCTGAAGTAGCTTTAAATAGATTCTCTCTCCCTTTTAAAAATGAAAAAAGAAAAAGACGTGGGTTTTTAAAACTTTCCCTCCCCCTTTAAAAAAAAAAACAAAGTCTGGAAAAATACACAGAAGTTCCCCTCTGGGTCTACACTACCTGGCTGTCTGCCTCCCGTGGGGTCAGTGCTACAGTGCATTCGGTACGCAGTGCAGTAGGCGCCCCGGGGCAGATGAGCGTTCAGCCCTGAGTCAGAGGCTGGGTAACCCTGAAGCGGTTGCTTCCCTGGGGACCAGGAGGGATGGCACAGTACACAGAGGGGGCTCAGGGCACCGAGGGGCATGTGCCCCCGGGAAGCAGCAATGGAGGGGTGCGGCTGTCCCCACAAAGACACCTGCATACCCCAGCATGCCCTCGGTGGAGAGCAACCCTTCCCCACCCCCACGTCAGACACCAAGGCCATAAAACTACATTCCTCCTGGGTGTCTGCCTGGTCCACCCGTCCAACCATTTGTGCAGCCAGTGCCAGGAAGCCCAAAAGACTTTTGCAAAGGGTTCCCAAGTCAGGATCACAGAGGGGAGAGGTTTCCCATCCTCGCCCCAGGGGTCAGAGTTCAGGAATAGAACCCCAGGAACACTGCCCTTACTGTGATCTTGACCTCTGTCCAGATAAGGACTGTGAACTCTTACGACTTTCCTTGGGATAACGAGCAAAACGGACAGTGGAGGAGGCTGGGCAGAGCTGTCCGTCACCCTGGGGCTGCTCCCCAGGACTGCACACCTTCTGGCTCATCCCTAGCGTGTCCATCACCTGCCAGAAAGGCCTGGCTTCTGAGGAGACCTGACGTTTTGTACGTTCGGCTTTGCCGGGAGGAAGAAAGAGGCAGCTTTGCACAGCTCCTCAGTCTGTACCCACATCAGCTAGCGTCACTTCAAGTTTCTGGTGCATCTTCTAAGGCAGGTATATAGGTCCTGAGCTCTCTTTCAAAGGCCTCAGCTCCCACTGGGAGACAGCAGTATCTACACGTGGTGTGGTTCATTTAACGCAGCAGTGACTTTTTTTTGTTGTTTTCAGCAAAAGTTGGTGGGTAGGGTTCGTTTAAAATATATATTTAAATAACTTTTTACATTTACATATAATATCTTAAAAAAACAAGCAGACAACTCAATCCCGCACACCTTGGAACACCAAGCACACACTTCACAAAACAGAAGAACAACACATTGTGGAAAGAGACAAAGGACTCGAGATTTTGTCTGTTGGTTTGTTAATGGGGAGGGGCTGCCACAGCTGGCTCACATTTTGGGTTGAGAAGGAGGGCTCTCTTTATTACCACTTTTTGTGTGTTTGTCAAAGCTAAAAAATATTTGTTTTGAAGGGAGTTGGTTTGGAATCTCCGTACAGTTCCTGATTTCCAGAAGAGTCCCTTCCAAGCTCAGGCCCCTGGGCTGCTGCCTGGGTGAGATCCTGGTCCTAGGAGAGAAAGGGAGACAGTCATCAGGGCAGGGAGCTGGCACTGCAGGTTCCGGACCCAGAGCACAGGGAAGAGGAAAGGGCCTCCGTGTGTGGCAGGCTCTCAGGAGTGACAGCTCACAATGGTGAATGGACCGTGCATGTGACAAGGGCTGAAGCAGGCCTCCTTTTCTTAGAAGGGCTCAGTCTGTGCTCAGAACACAGTAGTCTGCCTTAGGTGACAAGCAAACGCAACACACAAAGTGGTGTTAACTGAGTACCCAGTGTGCACTGGGCAGGCGCAGGCACTGGAAGGACAGGGAGGAACCCCTCGCAGAGCCTGAAGACTGCCCACGCAGTAACCACAGGTTGGGATGACTTAGGGCGTAACGGGGGGCGAGGGTGGAGGGGTGCCTAAGCTGCGATCTGGAGGAGAGGTGGGGGCAGCGGTCGGGAGGTTGGCATGAGCTTGGAAGGACAGGAGGCAAAAGGAGCTAAAGCCAGCAAGGAAGAGAAAGAGGCCAGGTCAGACATGGTGAGAAGTTCACGGTTTGAAGACACAAAAGGTAACAGCAAGTTATTAAAGGTGCCTCCTAGGTGGGACAGAAGGCCAGGCCAGTGACAGGAGACCGTCAGAAGGCTGCTAATGCCTTTGCCCTGCTGAGAGGAGTGGGTCTGGACTGCAGGGGTGGCAGGAAGTGGATACGCTTGAGGATTCTTTGGGAGTAAGTGCTGCTGTGGATGTGACAGGGTTGGGGAGATGGCAGGATCACACAAACAGGGCTCAGTGGACCTGGAACCAGAGGAAGGGAATGACCTTTGGACACCATCAGGTACAGCTGTGTTAAAGCCAAGTGCTGAAGAAGAGAACCTGCACGGAAGGGACTGCCATCAGTCTCACCTGCAGCCTCAGCAACTGGCACGCTGGGCTCCTGAGTGTCCTGAGGGGCACTGGGAAGGCTGGCCCTGGTGGCACCCGCCTCCTCAGGTGGGCAGCCAGGCTGCAGCAGCACCTCGGCCTGGTGGCACGGAGCCCGCTCCTCTTCCCGGGCTGTTTCCAGCCCCCTGTGGTGCCGCGGGGCGTCCAGGCCCAGCGTCCCACTCCAGGGACTGAAGCTGTGGGTCCCTTGGCAGTCTGGGGACAGGCCCAAGTCACAGTCCACATCCTCGGGAATGATAGGGATGCGTTGACTCAGGTCCCGGGCCCCTGGGTGGCAGCTGGGTGGGGGATCCTCAGCCAGTGTGTACTGCACTCTCACCGAGTAGTCCTCCGCGAAGCAGCCGCCACCCCCGCCACTGCGGGCCACCTGCTTCTCTTCATAGAAGCAGCAGGGCAGGCTCTCATAGGTCACCCCATCTGTCCTGGGCAAATGTCTGGGCGAAGGCCATACAGGCCCTGGAAGCTGGCCGGCTGAGGGTCCCCACTCCCAGGGCCACAGCCCTCCAGGAGCGGGGGCCCCAGTGCAGAGGGCTGAGGCTCGCAGCAGCAGGCACAGGACAGCCCCTCATGGCCCCCCTTCCAGGTCCTCCTGAGGTCCAGGGCGGCCCCAGGAGAGGCGTCGAGCCCCACTTCTGAGGTAGAGCCATTGGGTCCCCGGGGCTCCAGCGAGGAGCTGCTGCTATAGTTTAGGTCCAGGCTGCAGGTTGACAGCTGGTCCCCCGAGGGAGAGGCAGGGCCCGGCCACGGCTCTCCCCGGCCAGCACCATGGCCATGTGCTGCCCAGAGCTCATCAGAGGGCAGGGAGCCCTCGAGGTGCACAGCAGGGCCCCGGGCCGAGGTGCCCAGGCCACCCGGCTCCCCGGTGCTGACCCGGCAGGGACTCCGGCTGCGGTAGACAAAGGGGTCATAGTCGCTGCTGAGGGAGCTGCGGAAGGTGGAGCAGCTCCCATACACGCCCTGATTGCTGACCTCGGTGCAGTCCACCACGGAGTCGCTGGAGGAGCAGTGGCAATGGCCGGAGCTGCTGCTGCTGCTGTCACTGCCTGGGCAGTCGGCCAGGTAGCCACTGCACACAGAGCGGTGGCCGTGGGAGCAGCTGAAGCTGGACGTGCTCCCGCTCTCCAGGTGGGCGGACGGTGCCATATGCACCACGGTGGGGAACAGCAGGCTGCTCCCGCTCGGCGGGAAGGCACGGGCCGGGCCCCTGGGTGCCAGGCTGGGTGGGGGCTGGCCCTCCTGCTCCGGGTAACTGAGGCCCTGGAAGTAGTAGTGTTGGTACATGGTCTCGTACTGGGAGAAGCAAGCTGCCTTGGAGAAGCTGCGGCCGCTGAACTTGGGCCTGCGGAAGGGATGGGCTGGTGAATAGGCCCGGTGCTCCAGGCCGCAGCGGTGAGTGGCCAGGCTGGGGTCCAGGTGCAAGGGCGGGTAGCCACGGACATAGGCGGGGGTCTGCGGAGAATAGAGGCTCTGCTCCCTGTGCCGGTCCATGGTCAGCAATGTGACTGGGTTCCCGTGGGAGTCCATGCTTGTCCTCGTAGGGTAGGCTGGGATGGCGCTGGTTCTGTGCACGCGGCCCGGGTAATGTACTGGCAGGGTCACCCTCTGCTGCCGACTGCGTGCAAGGTTGCTCGTCTCCACGCACATGGAGCCAGGGTTTCCCTTTTGTTCTGGGAGAGGTGGGGAAACAAGGTAAGCACGGTTGAAGCAGTAAGCTGGGCCACCTGCCAGGGGCCTATTCTCACATTCTAAAGTGTCACCAAGTCTGGCTGAGCTGGCAGAGGCTGACTTGCCTCTCTGTGAAAGGGGGGGGAGGGGGTCACTCCCTTAAGGGTCCATCTCCCACCTCCCCACTGTTCTGCCTGACCAGGGCACCAGGGGGTCCATAGAGAGCAAAAGGGTTGTGAAGACAGCAGTGTCCCTTACCCCATATCAAAACACGGTGACATGGAGCAGCACTGTGTACCTGCCACCACACACTCATCATCTCTTGTGGGCCCTGGGAACAACCGTGTGTTCTGGACATGGGCAAGCATCGTCACTGTCACCCACTAAAGAGCCTGGGGCAAGAGGGCCAGAGAGGCCGGACACATTGCCCATGGCCGCCACGCCAGCGGGTCTGCAAGGCAACGCTGCCGTGCATGCAAGCTGTGTCATGCTCTCGCCAGGCACTGCGAAAGGACAGTGTCCTCTGACCTGATTCCAGCAACTCCTGAGGGAGGTGACCGTTACCTATGATGTTGTGCCGACAGTGTGGGCACGTGTGATGCTGCAGCAGCCATGGGTCCACGCACTTTCTGTGGAATCGGTGAGTACACGGGATGACCCGCAGCTCCTGGAAAGCACAAAGGGAACATGGCCTGAAAGGAGGGCACCATGGCAGGCAGTGCTGCCCTCAGCCTCGCACAGGCTTCCTCCTGTGGAGCCCAGCATGGACCGAGGAGTCCTGTCCACCCTTTTGGTGACTTCTTGCAATAGTGTGGATCTTAGCTGTACCCCATGTGCTAAAGGCTTGGTCTCCAGCTTGGCACTGCTAGGAGGTGGAGCCTATAGGGAGGTCTTTAGGTGACAGGGGTGTGCCCTCCAAGGGCATCATGGGACCCTGGTCCTGGTCTCTTCTTCTTCTCTAATTTTCTTTTTTGGGTGGTGCTAGGGTTTGAACTGAGGGCTTTGGGCTTGCTGGGCAGGCTCTCTACCACTTGAGCCATGCACCCAGCTCTCCTCCTCTTTTGTGTCCTGGTCACGAAGCGAGTGCTTTTGCTCTGCCATGTATTCCACCACGATGCCCAAAGCAATGGGGCCAACTGACTGTGGGCTAAAACCTCTAAAATAAACCTAACTAAATGAGTCTAAATAACCCTTTTGCTTTCTAAGTTGATTATCTCAGCCATTTGTTACAGTAACGGAAAGCTAACATTCTCCCTGCTCCCCTCCCCACCTCCAGCTATTGTCGCTCCATTTCCCTAGGCAGGGGCCATGGGTGGGTTCTAGGGAGAAGGAAACTGCCCCTCCACCTGCCCTAATTACAACCCTCAGTGTTAAGGGGACAGGAGCAGGGAAGCAGTTCCCTTTCCTGGAGTTGGAGGGCACGAAGATTCACACTCTACACGGAGAAGACCAAAGTCTCAGGCCAGTGAGGATATGAAGCTTTGGAGAAAGAACCAGGAACACCCAGGACATGTATCTTTGGGGAAGATTGCCTATAAATACCCCAAATGGGGACGAGTACAAAGGAAGGTGTCTGGGACTTGTGACTGGCTGTGGGAGCGTAGGAGCAAAACTTTGTAGTCCTGGCTGTTACTGGATCCTGAACACTTCCGATGGGGGCACAGGGTTCACAACAACAGCAGTCTATGTGGACAGAGTGACAGTCTGACACAGTAATGTCCAAATTAACACCTAACACTGGCCCTGACTCAGTGCCAAGGTCTACAAATTATTTTTCATGTAACCTTCCTGATCACCTGGAATGCGCTTGGTCTCAAGTCCATGTCACAAGAGAATGAAGGCAGAGAATGAAGTCTCTTGACCCCGTTCACAAAGCTAAAATCTGCCAGGACCAGGGTCAGAGCGCAGGCAGTCTGCACCCAGAATCCACACAGGAACACAGTTCCCAAGGGCAGAGCCTACAAATGCTCATTTTACCCAACAGTCTATACAGCAGTGGAGCACTTTCAAAAGCCATCAAATGCCTGCGGTTCTCTAATGGTTTGCTCCCTGGTCCCCAAATCATGTGCGTATAAGCATCCATGTCTCCAGAGAGATTAAGCAAAAGTGTGTGAATGGTTAATGATGGGTGATCTACAATGATGCAAACTGTTCATGGTATTTTTCTTTCAACTTTTTGGGGGCATTTTCAAAAGAAGGAGCTACAAAGGCTAAAACAAAACAAAAATCAAATCCCTTGACTCTTTGCAAGAAATATACTGAGTCAAGAATCAGACTTTCCAGAAAAGTGATTTGAAAACAAAGTCGGCTTGTGTGAATGTCCTTAAAACGAGGCATTTTCTGTTCTGTCACACACTTTTTTTTGTGTGTGTACCGGGGCTTGCCTCAGGGCTTACACCTTGAGCCACTCCACCAGTCCTTTTTTATGTTGGGCTTTTTTGAGACAGGGTCTCTTGAACTATTTGCTAGGGCCGGCTTCGACCCGCGAGCCTCTTGATCAGCTAGGATTACAGGCATGAGCCACAGACACATTTCTGTTCAGCTTCAGAAGTTAGCTATTGTACGACAGCTGGACCCTCTGGAGAGTGTTGTGTCTGCTCATCCCCTTGAGGCTGGCCCCTCGAGGGTTGGCGTTGAAGCCCTTTGGCTGCTACAAGGCTGCAGGGAAGACTGTGGCCCTGTCCACCTCCTCCTGCCCAGTACAGGTCCTGCCCTGCCACTACCTCTCCATCGATGTACTTCTCCAGGCAGATGGCACAGTCGGATGTGGAGCTGCTGCTAAGCGTGTCCAGGGCTCCACAGCTGCCCTCCCGGCGGGCCCTTGCTCTTGGAGTTGAACTTTCTGGTTTCCATCTTCTCCAGAGCCTGCACGGCCAGCCTGTTCATGGAATTCTACAGGGCAGAGCAAGCGTGGCAAGTGTTAAGAGTCTTGTACGCGTTAACAGTGGTAGTCACCCCCAGGGTCATGGCACTCAGTACACCAGGACTGGCACACACTGGTCTCTTAGGTTGGAACAAATTTTCGAGAAGCCACTCAAAACTCAGACTGCCACAGCACCTATTTTCCAGATCCCTGGGGGAGAGAGGATGGCACAAATCAGCCCAGGCTCTCCCCAGTGGCAGTGCCAATAGCGGTCTTGCCTTCAAGGTAAAGGCGGGGTCTTGTCAGTCAGTCAGCCCTGTGGCTTTCCACTGTTAGAACCTGTGTTACTAGCCTGCTGTATGCCCAAGGCTCCTGCACACTGAGGGAGGCTGTGTAAACGAGATGCTTGTGAGTGTTTGACACCTGGCCAACAGGATGTGCTCATTAACTCCACTTTTGATGTCAGTGGTGGCCCCTGGACCA